AGGAATTATGTAAAATACTTTTGAGGACAAAATAACGTGTCCCTTCCTTTCACCTTTTCTTTGCAGTTCTCCTATTTACCCTTATTCGCTGTAATTATGGCAGTGGATCGATTTCCACTTTGTGACCCTTTGCTTTTCCCTCGGTTCCCTCTGTGTCCACAAGAGAAGCCTCCCCTATTAATACAGTTAACAGATCTGTCTGCTCCTCAGGCTTTTCTGCAGCTTTGCCATTGCTGAGGAAGAATCTGGCAGCAATGTTGTGTTAATCGAGTTCAATCAATAAAGAGGTGTTTTGCAAGTAAAACTGTCTTTCTCGTGTCAGAGATACGTGTGATGCCCCTGAGGTTTTGGTCTGATTCACACACAGAAATGTCCTCTGAACTTTTTAAGGACAGTTCTGTTGTGTGACTGAGTTTTACAACTGAGATAGCAGTACATTTCTGACGGTTGCAGTACCTCGTCTGGAGCAGTGGTGCAGTGCTGGACTTCAGATTGCTCATAGATCTTAGGAAAGGAGAGAAACAGTCTCCGCTGCCCTGAGCTTCTTTCTTTTTAATGAGCAACAACTGCCTCAGAAGGATCAGGCGTGGTAGCATTAGCTTTGTGCTTTCTGTGTTTTCCATGGTGCTTTATTTACACGGCGCTCTAGGCTGCGCTCTGTGCCGTCTCTCAGTCCCAGTGTCTCTTAGCACTGGGTCACAGGCCTTCATTACTGGCACTGGAGAGAGACTTCATTTACCGGAATTACTCCAGCGCCCATTTCAGCTTGGACTGCCAAGAACAAGCCTGGATCGCAGCATTTCAGCATTGCTTCTCATGTGTTACTCTGAGGCTGCTCCAGCTGTCCCAGCCGTCTTGCTGACCATTCTGCTACCTTCCAGCAGCATGGTGCAGCTATGTGGAAGGTATGGGCGCTACTCCTTTCTTTCCTTCCCTTGCCTGTCTTTAATCTCCCTTCTGTAGCTCTGCAGGAATGTAAGATTGTTCCCAGCTTCTCATATCCTACTGTTACTCTCCGGCCATCTCTTCTTTCTGAATTACTTGACTGCAGAAAACATGGCAGAGTTCCCAATCTCTTTCTTCCCAAATCCTGTGGGCAGTCAAGACTTAAGAGATCAGGATAGTGTGTATAGCACAACCACTGTTTTGGTTAAGTGGCCCTGTCCCTTGTCCTTTGTTAAAGTATTTTGTGAGGGGGAAATGATCTTGATGGATTTTCCTTTCACGCACTCTTCCCTGTAGGACCTGTACTCCTCCTTTTAAAAGGAGAACATCAGCAGCATTGTATGTAGATGCACAGAATATATGCTCGTGTTGTGTGTGCATGCAGAGAAGTGCAGAGGAACTCACTTCTTATATGGAAACAAACTGTTCTCGCTGCATTTATTCTTTCCCAGAGGCTGAGTTAAAAAAAAAAAAAAAAAAAAAAAAACCACCCAAATGAGGAAGCGACCCCGCTTTAAATGCAGATTTCTAAACATTTCTACCCTATAGAGTTGAATCCAAATGTCTTTGTGGGCTCTCTTTTAGCTATGTGCCCATAAACATGAGGTTTGTCTCTATTTTTCAGCGATTGAAATCAAGACAGGTAGCAGTGCATTAGGGTGCGGGAGGCATTGTTCACTGATTGAACGTAAACTGCAAAATGCTCTCCATTAAAATGAAATGCCAGGCAGCATCCAAGAATTCCACTTCCCAGCTATGTAGCACTGTTTCCAGATTCCACTAGTTTAGTTTATGCCACTTAGAGTATGGGTCTCCACATTTGCAGAAGTCTAAGTCCAGTTGCTAGAACCTATGGCCTGGTAGGCTTGGTAGCCAAGGTGGTAAAGATCTAGGTCCAATCTGTTTATTTTATTACGTGAGTGAGATCAGCAGAGTGTACAGATAGCGTTTGCACAAGGAGTAATTTCAGCATGGCAGCTACCTTTGGCTTCAAGTTGGATATCGATGTGGGTGTGGATGTAGGGCTGAGACATTTTGCAGGATGTGCACATGAGCAGAAAAAAGAGAGTGCTACTGTGAATACAGAAGATATACTGAAAATATTTGTGGTGCTTAAGGACGTGGTTTAGTAAGCATGGTGGTCATGGATTGATGGTTGGACAAGATCAATTTCATAGTGTTCCCCAACCTGAACAGTTCTATGATTTTATGATTTTCTATGTGGATCTCGAAGAAACCTGTGTTTCTGTGCAAACTGATGTTAGGCCAATTTTCTTGGCATGAACTGTATTGAAGCAATTAAAAAAAGTCTCTCAAGGAACATCTTATGTAACCCCAAAATAGAATAAAATGAAGCTAATGCCCACATTGCCTTTGAACTGCCAGCTGTTTGCTCTCTGTGCAGTCCACTTTAGTTTTTCACATTTTCCTACATGAGCTGTAAATCACACCTGTGCAGACACGAACAGAGCATTAGCACACAGGACCATTATGTGCTTAATACACTATGTAGAACTGTCCTAATCACTGGGCTTAGGGCATGTGGAACTGAAAAAAAGGTGAGTCATTTTAAAGGCATATTTACAAAACAGGAATCCTAGGGTAAGATCTGCTGACATTTGTTAAAAAAAAAATAGAAACATCAATCAAATCAAAGCCTGAGCTTGGAAAAAAAAGTCAAATGCTGTCACAACAGATCGGTAATCTATTTCTATTCAGTGTTTTGTTACTTTTCTTTCATGTCATGCTCAAGGATAAGTGTGAGCTCACGTGGAAGTAAAGCCTCCTGATGTTTCCGTGGGATTAAAAGCGTTCCTACCACTCAAATTGTTGCATACGGCTCCTGTACTGCAGTTGTGGAGAAAACCTCTCTTAGCTGTTGCAAAACTCGTGTATGGTGAGATACCAGCCAAACATTTCTGAATGCACAGGACTGAGTGACGGGTGGAGCGCTGACCCTGCAGGAAAAGCTAGGATCTTTCCTGTACTGCTTTTGTCAAGAAGTGTGCATGAGTAGGAGAGTTTTCCGGGTCTGTTCTCTGTGTAGTGAAAGTAAGTGCTGACTTAATTGTTAAAGACGGCAATGGTAACGGTTCTGCAGCAGCAAGAATCTGCTGGTGTTCTGAGGACTGCTTCCAGTGCTTCTTTAAGCAAATCCCTGCTGCGTGAAGTGCTGTGAAGAGCAGTTATAAAGAGCCCTGGGCAGCTGGTGTGAGACTTGTGGGGCCGTTCTGCACAGCCCAAGGTTCCCCTATTCCCATGTACAGATAAGCTGCATTACGCTCCCCTTGGAGCAGTGCCATGCTGTCATGACAGTTGTTCAAGGCTGGTCCCGGCCGATTCGGTTCACAGCTTGAGCACTGCTTTCCTTATCCCTGTTTGCATTGCGCAACAGCTTTACTGGCAGAGTATAAAGGCAGCGCACAGAGTCGATCAGGGTGTGAGTAGGCTGCAGAGTGGCAACTGAGAAGAACATGCTGCTGTCCGTGATCCTCACCGCCGGGCTCACAGCACTCGTAGCTACTGGTAAGCTTCCAAAATGTTTTTCACTGTTGCCTGCTGCAAGGAGTTAGAGTGCGTGTGCAGTTTGCTTACCCGTGGGAGTCCCAGCTCAAAGGAGGCCTGAAGTCCCAACCCTGCTGCACAGAGCTGAGGTCTGAACAGCAAAGAGCTCTTTATTTCTTTCTCTGGCCTGCTTTCAGGCATTTGTCTTGTTTTTTTTTCACGTGGAGCTAGCAAAACTCAATTCCTATTGCAATATTTTGTCTGCTGAGTCAGAGATTCCAGTATACCACGTTTGTTGTTTGACTCTGATACATTTCACTCTGAGATTAAAGTAAATCTTACCTGAATGTTTGTGCCATTTGTGCATGCGTGCCAGACTGTTTTCAGGTATGGTAGAAGGTGTTTTCTGTTTGTCTGTAGGGTCTATCGAGATTCCCAAGTGTGTTTTGTGCACTCACAGATCCTTTCCTAAATCAGGAAATGCCTTTTCTTTATGAGGGCAATCCGGTGGACTTTTAAGTAAAACAATCCTCACCCGGTTAGTGATGCGTGTGGAGAGTAAGCACGTTACATGCTGCAGGCACGGTGTAGCTGAGGGAGATCATAGCTGGGAGCACTATCAGAATGGGGGCTGAACTTCAGTCAGCTCTAGCGATTAGCGTTTGTTGAAGGCTTGTGTCTGAAAAGGAGTTATTGAAACCAAGAGCAGGTGTGCATTCAGGTAGGCAAAGCTCTTAGAAAGCTGTCAGTTGCTCACTAGGAGACCAATCCGTGATGTGATGTTGTGCACACCCCCCCCAGGGCAAAAAGCAGAGCAGCCAGAAGTGGTGACCAAATACGGCACTGCCCGAGGATACCAAATCAAAGTTGATGCGGCTGAGAGGAGCGTAAATGTCTTTCTGGGACTTCCTTTTGCTAAGCCTCCTGTTGGACCACTGAGGTTTTCTGAGCCCCAGCCTCCTGAGCCATGGCAAGGTGTCAGAGATGCCACTTCCTACCCACCAATGTAAGTAAAGCAGGAAGAAAAGCTTTTATGTTCCCCGTGACTTTATATTACCTGCAGTTTGGGGACGCTGATAGGCAGGCTGACCAAAAGCCACACGGATAAACTCCTTGGTGTCGTCTCACCTACTCTCACATCTGCTACAGTGAATGCATTTCTGAAGAAATCTTCATAAGCTACTGTTTTATTGAGTGCTCTCTAATAGGCATCATAACTGAGCTAGTATGGACCTGATGACAGACCTGTGCTCTTTTGCGAGCACTTGGTTATGCTTTAAGCCGCGTGGCTTAGAAGCAGAAACAGAAAGAAGCTGAGGAAACGTTGGAATAAAATGCTGATGAGTCACGTGGTTGAAAGGACATGTAAGAAACTCCAATTGTGCTGCTGCCCCCCTTTGCTAACTCTACCCTAATAACTGCAGTACAAAAAGCTATTGAAGTTACGTAATAACTATTATGCATTTTATTTGAAGTGATTTATAGCTGTATCCATCTGCAACTATACTTCTGTAATGTCCTGAAACATGCAAAACTGCGATTGGTGTCAAATTGTACCGCTCTGGACTGTGGCCCCTTTTAACAGGCCTTGTCATAGCAACTCAAATGGATGAAAACATACTCAGAATTAAAACTTTACAGTATGTTTTCTGCTGCCAGCAATTGAGAAACGTACCAGAGATTTCTACTTTCAAAAAAGCTGCACATTATAGCTCTGAGATTTCCATTGATTGTTGTTTCTCTTAATTTTTCAGGTGTCTACAGGATAAAGTAACAGGACAGTTTGTTTCAGATTTAGTTACTAATAGAAAAGAAAAAGTTCGTCTCCAGGTGTCTGAAGATTGCTTATACCTGAATATATATACACCTGTTTCCACAAAAACACAGGAGAAGCTGCCGGTAAGGAAAATCAGTACAAAACCTCTAGCAGGCTCGATGGCTTCTGTGATTTGATGTGACAGATTGAGCCTGACCTTGAATCTTCTAACTGCTTCCTGAGGATGACAGTACTGTACTGCAAACTTGCAACCTGTACAGTATGTGGACTTACTGGCACAGTTTTTAACGATTGACAAATAAAATCTTACTGGTTTTTTACTTAGGCAGTGTTTGATTTCCTGCAGGGCACGGGTAAAATTCAGGTATTTAATGAAATCAGTGTGTGTTGTGAGGCTGCCAGCCTCCAATTTGAAAGACATTGACCATTTGTGAAATGTAACCTGAAGGACTCATGAGTGAAGCAGCACAAACAAGGGTATTCAGTCTGTGTCACAGGGAGCTCTTCCCTGTGCTGAACTGTTTCTGTTTGTTCCCCTTCCAGGTCTTTGTATGGATCCATGGAGGTGCATTAGTTTTTGGAGCAGCATCATCCTATGATGGCTCAGCATTAGCAGCCTTTGACAACGTGGTTGTTGTGGCAATTCAGTACAGATTGGGTATAGCTGGATACTTTAGGTAAGACAGGCTGTCTTCGATTTTGATAAACCATTTCTAATGTTATGCATGGAAATCCTTTGTGGAAAGGCCTGTGGAGTACTTGCTTTGGCAAATAAACTCTCTGTTTCTTAATTACCCATGCAGCAGTTGGGAGCAACTTACAAGTCCCAGGTCTGCTTCAGAGACTGCTGTGGCTTGATTGCTGGCCTGATCTCAACCCTTTTCAAGCCAATTCTTTTTCAATTACGCAGAGAGGCTCCTTCACAGCTGATTCCTTGTCCTGCACACTGTATTTATCTGAGTGTTGTTTTTTTCCACATCAGGCATTTAAAGAAGTCTGTTCTTTCTTTCTAGCACTGGGGATAGGCATGCTCGTGGTAACTGGGGGTATTTGGACCAAGTGGCAGCTCTTCAGTGGATTCAGGAAAATATCATACACTTTGGAGGAGACCCGGGATCTGTCACCATCTGTGGTGAATCTGCAGGGGGAATCAGTGTATCTGCTCTGGTAAGTTCACCACAGGCATGAATGCTTATTATTCTTTGAGAAAGAAACCCACTGTCCACGATCACTCTCAGTACATTAATGAAAAATCAGTGAGAAAACGTGGGTGGCTTTTGGGTAAAGCACACATCACCTCAGTCTGATACACAGCTGATAACAGTGCAGCTTCTGGCTGTTGAAAGTGTTCTTTTTGTACCCAGATGATGTCGCTTAGAATCCCAGATGTCGTTTGTCCTCTTCAAATTTGAATGTCCATTTGCTCCCGACTTCTCTCTTAGAGCTGTATTTTCCCCTTCTGCAGCACAGCCAGTCTGTTGGACGTATGTGTACCTGATTCATACCTGGCTTGCAGTGTTGTTCCCTGAAGTCTTGTAAGCAAAGCTTTATGGGAGGGGAAGGGCAGGCGTGGACTTATCCCTGTTAATGCTGCCAGAGACCTTTGCACAGCAGAGCTCTGATCAGAGGCCACAGAGTAACACTTGGATGACATTTCTTTCAAAAAAGGCAGTTTCTGATATTGAAGTCCTGTGTCATGAATAGAATGCATTTCCAGTAATGCCTGTTCTTGTTTCTGGATGCTGCTGCTTTTCTCCAGGTCTTATCTCCACTGGCAAAGGGCTTGTTCCACAAGGCCATTTCAGAGAGTGGTACTACAATTAGGGCTTTATTCACTGAAAAGCCTGAGAAGGAAGCACAGGTGGGTATTTTGTGGCATATTTAATGTTTTAGATAGTCTTGAATGTCTTAAATGGTGTATTCAAGAAATGTGGATCTTGGTCTTTTTTTCTTGTGGAATTTCAACCACCTTCATTAGAGACAGGATTCCTGTTTGCAGTAATACACGCTGGGTGAAACTTTGCTTTCCAAATACCCAAATATCCACAGATGTCTGAGTGAAAGCAGAAAACGGAGGAAGCAGAGGGAGAAGGCAGTGAATGAGTATGAAATGTACAGGAGTATACTGTCTTCAGAAAAAGTTGAGCTGCTGTTTTTGGAAGGAAAATGGCACCAGACATCTTTCCCCCCCACCTGGTGCCTGATGTGCTCACAGGAACAAAACTTCATTCAGCCTGGTTATAATTAAAAAGAAGAGCCCTATTCAACCCAATTTGTCATGTACACATGACAGATCTCCAAGGAACAATCTCCAGGAGCTTTGTTTTGCTAATCTGGGATGTAGAAGAGGCAGTGTTGCACTGAGGTCTATCTGTCTAGTGACAGCTGAGAAATAGCATTACTTCATCCAAAAAGACTGTGCATCATTGAGAAGGATGTAACGTGCTCTTTATCTATCATCTGCATGATCATATTCTATGTATGCATTACTCTAACTACCTTATGCCATCCAGACTTCTTAGCCCTGTTTGTTACATACCAGAACAAACTACCTTGTTCTGTTAGTGAATAGAGATATTTTGGAGGAGTAGGCTTTGTCTTTCTGTTCAGCCCACAGCATGAAGGGTTATGAAAGCTTCCTGTCTCACAGCTGAAATGCTACTGGCTTTGGTCCTTCCTGAGAAATTTTGACACCCCTCCAGCCCTCCACTCTTCCTACTCTGGACTCCAGACTCAGAGGCACATGAAGCCCATGTATGGGAATATACGGATAATTAGTAAATGAGAATGTGACTCGTTTATATTGATTGCAGAGAATTGCTGCTGCATCTGGCTGCGAAAAGTCCAGTTCTGCCGCTCTGGTTGAATGCTTAAGAGGAAAAACAGAGGAAGAGATAGAACAGATAACTCTAAAAATGGTAGGTGAAGTTATGCCTTGTATATGAGGGGCCTTTCAAATTTGATCATAACAGAGCATGCTGTACATGTCCTGTAATATTAAGAGAACTTGAAGAATATCTAACATCTGTCCCTTCTTTACATTTTCAGGTAGGACAACACTGCATCTATGCCATACCTCACCTGAAAAATGTGAACAGGTTCCTTCTCTTTAACTCTGTATGGGCAGTGAGCTACACGTGTTTCTCTGTTGGGTTCTGTTAAGGAAGGAGACAAAAGTATGAGAGTCACAGTCTCTCCTGGAGAGCCTGAACATTACTTAACATCATAACTATGTCCTTCTCTAAATTTCGTATCACAGTGCTAGGTTCCCTCTTCCTTTGCAGATTCAACTCAGAAGTTGGTTCTCCCCTCACAGCATCGCACATTCACAGTAGGATTGTGCTTGCTAAGAGCAGATGTAAACTAAGTGTAATCTACATTTTGTGAATATTTAAGATATAGTGCCAATATGCACAAATCTTCTCGGGTTCAAATATCCATTGAGGAAAATTACCTACATTTTCACTTGTGACTTTATTTGTTATGCTTTGAAAATGCTGTAAAATGTAAAAATGTTTCTCAGAAGCAAAATTTAAGTAAACCATTCTGCCTTTTGTTTGTATTTTTCCAGGCAGCTGTGCGCATCAGTGCCTGTGTGGATGGTGTATTTCTTCCAAAGAGTCCCAAGCAATTACTGTCTGAAAAAGCAATCAATGCAATCCCCTATATACTAGGAATAAATAACTGTGAATTTGGATGGGGCCTTCCTAAAGTAAGAAACTTATAATGGCTGTATTCAGATATACGTTTGTGAATATGAGATTGCCCCCTAAATATATAATCTCTTTGTTATGAAGATGATGAAATTTCCTGATTTTACACACGGTCTGGACAGAGAAGTTGCGCATCAATTGTTACAGAACTCATTAGAGTCATCATTTGAGGTAAGAGACCATTTCCAGAATAACCCAGTGCTACTTCTTGAGTGGGATAATTCAGTATTCATGTTTCTGAAGCTTCACATGGAGACTAGAAAGGACACCTGGGGATGGTTGGCACCAGGAGACCTGCGTGTAGCCATTGGAAGTTTTGCTTCCTTTTGATTTACAAAGCGCCACCTTTTAAAAAGGAATGCAGTGGAAATCCAGAAGCAATGCAGGCAACAAAACCCAAGTCCCATGACATTCAAGATGCACTAGGTTATCCAAGATACGCGTTCTACCAGCAGATATGACACAGCACCTACAGAACATACAAGCCTTTCTAAAGCTTCACATGGAGAATAGAAAGCTGAGCTGGGGATGCCTAAAATGGCACCAGGAGACCTGCATGTAGACAGGGGAGGTTTTGCTTCCCTGTGTTTTACAAAGCTCTCAGCTTTCTGGTTGCTTTGTGCTCTCCTGAAACTAGGAAACTTGAAAAACTGCAGACTAATAGGTTAGAATTAAGAAGCTGATAAACATAGCCAGTACTTGTAAAGGGTCATGTAGAGCCATAAGAATCTATCATAATCTGGGAATGGCAGAGCCCAGGGTTTTTCTGAAAGGGAGTAAGTAATGGCCATCTGCAGCAAGAAATGGATCTTATGCAATCCAGCAGGATTTCATTTCTCTTACGAGGGTTGTTTCCCCAGAAGGAAGAACAGAGTACCGTATCCATCTCTTAGCATCACCACTTGCTCTTTATCTAAAGGCATTTGAGAGCATCCTTTTTGATCTTGCAAATCTCTTCTCCCAGAGAACATCTATGCCAGGTAAAGGTGCACCACTGTGAACTGTGAGCTCTGCTTGGACGCAGCAGGGGATTTTTTCTGAAAGATGGTGATGTTTGGAGTCCAGCCAGGGACACACAGGTGGCACTCTCAGTCTACACTGTTACTCCTTTTAGGGTGGGTTCTCATTATGAAAAGTACCTTTCTTGTTCATTCCAGGGTGTTTCTTCTCACATTGTTGATCTTGTATTCAATGAATACATTGGGGAAGCAGAGAGCCGTGCTCAGGTGCGAGATGCCCTTTTTGATGCAATAGGAGATCACATGTTTACTTTCCCAGCCATTGAAGTGGCTAGGTACCACAGAGGTGAGTTTCCAATTCAGCATCTATTCAAACAAATGTTGTCTTCCATTCTTGAGTGTGTCTGTGGACGTTATGTATGTATCACACTTCATTATCAGAGGATCTGCTAGTGTTTTGATTTTGTCAATTTAGCTTTGGTGAAAGTTCATCATCATTGTTGACTGGCATTTGCAATACGAGCATTCTTGCGTTCAATTTTATTTTCTGTTAGATGCTGGCCACCCAGTCTACTTCTATGAATTTCAACATCGACCAAGCACAGCCTCAGGCGTCGTTCCAGAGTTTGTAAAGGCAGATCATGGAAGTGAGATTGCCTTTGTCTTTGGAAGGCCATTCTTAGCAGGTGATGTATCTGTGCTTGCTAAACAATTCTTTTAAAATCAACATTGTTATTAATTTCACTCACCTGAGGACTTTCAGAATAGAATTTTTTTTAGAAATAATAGAATCCATAGCTCCTTTGCCATGGAATTGATTACAGTGTATTGGAATTGACTGGACTGCTGTTTTTTGATTATTGATTTTTGAATATTGCCATTTCTTCTCTCACTTTGCAGGGAATGCTACGGAAGGAGAAAGTAAACTTAGCAGAACTGTTATGAAGTACTGGACTAACTTTGCTAGAAACGGGTGAGATCCGTAGCGCTAACTGCAGCTCAAGTTTTGTCTGTGCTGCCTGAAGCGTAGCAGCAGCATGGTAGTTCCTGTAAATGTGGCAGAGTTTAAGATAAGTACTGAAACAAATAGTTTCTCTTCTTAACGATTGCAACAAGAACTCTGGAAACGAACACGCAATCCCAAACAAAATCCAAGAGCTTTTTGTATCTGCAGTGGAGGATTAGATCCCCAAGTAAGGGCAAACATCATTACGTGTTTGCTGTTCCAGTGATGAGCTTTTTGATAAAAACATCCATCTGTTCAGCTACTAGAATCGTGCAATCTGAGCTCCTGTTAGTCTTCTGAAATGACCTCAGGTTGAGAAGTCAGAGCACAATGGAGAGGTAACTTTTCATTTTTGTGCTTCCAGAAATCCCAATGGGGAAGGCTTGGTGCATTGGCCTCAGTATGGTCTGGATGAAAGATACCTGGAAATAGACCTCATACAAAAGGCAGCAAAGAAACTGAAAGAAGACAAAATGGAGTTTTGGGTACAGCTCACAGAACAGATGAGGAGTGAAAGAAGGCGAGAGCACACAGATTTGTGAGAGCTGCAGAGGATACATTTTCCTTGTAAAACCTGAAGTCAAAATTAATTTGTCAGAATGCCGATTTTAATCTTGACTTTCTACTCACTAATATGCAAATTGTTGTCATGATCCCAGTGAAAGGAGACAATGAAGGGAAGTGCAAAATGCTCTTGGAAATAAAAATCAATAATGAAGTGAGCAGGTAAAAATAAACAGTCCTTCAGGCTCAGACAGACTCTAGCATCTTCTCAGTGGATATCTAAATTGAATGGTGTTCCTTTGAACAGGGAGAAGGAGGGGAATATTAGTAAATACACTGAAATCAATAAGAAGTTATACAGAATATATGATAGGTTTCAGAATGTACTGTATATTCATTCCACTCTTTTTATCAAGAAGATTGAGTCTGATATTCCTACCACCTCTTTTCACTTACTTTTAGTAAGTGAAATAGGAAGGAAATAGCTTGAGAGGAGGAGAGCGTCTATCGAAAAAGTGCCATGAGATCACGTGTTTTCTTCTTCTGTAAATTGTTAGAAATACATTGTACTTATGATTTTTGGGATGTATTTTCTTTCACATAATTTAGGCTGATTCCAAGAGAGTGCTGTGAAGGCCACTAACAAGTACGAACAAAGAACTTCTATTAAAGTGCAAACTGATAACCATACGGATTCTTTATTCCCATGTCCACAGACTGGAGAGGATGGGACTGGCAGGCTTGGGATGCCTCTCTTTGAAGTCTGCAGTAGCTGGGGCCTGCGCAAGCCATGGGGCTGCCTTTCATGGGCATAAAATCTGTATGTGATGGAGGCACTGGGCTGCAAAGAAAATAGGCACTTCTCCATTTCTGTAATTTATTATTTCTCAGCTGACTAGTGAGTGACATGAAAGACCAAGCAGCTCTGTGCAGCAAGGTGGCCTCTGCTTTCAAGTTGCTCAATTCCAAACAGGGTACTTCGCTTAGGAGGCTAAGCTGCAGAGGATGTGTGGTCTACACATAGAAACCTTCCACTGAGTTCAGGGCCCAAGCATATGTGTGCTGTTTTTTAAAGGAACTGCTTGCATAATCGTGAGGGCTTCGCTGCTGATTTGCATGAGGTCTTCTGGCATCAGTGCTGGCCAAGGTTACACACCTTCTGAGTGAGAGCTGGCTGGTCACCTGGATCTTGCTGCCCCAAAACGTGGAAGAAGAAAGAGGAGAACAAAACTGAGCTGGTGATGCAGCAGAGCAACAGCTGTTCAAAGCTGTCTGGCCTGGCACAGGGGTGGATGAAGATCACTCAATCGTAGAATCATTGAATGGCTTACGTTGGACCTTAAAGATCACCTCGTTCCAACTCCCTTGGCAGTAGGGTTGCCCAGGGCCCCATCCAGCCAGGCTTTCAAAGCCTGCAGACATGGGAGACATCCACAGCTTCTCTGGGCAGCCCGTGCCAGTTCCTCACCACTCTCTGAGTAAATAATTTCTTCCTAACACCTAACCTAAATCTCCCCTATTGTAGTTTTAAGCCGTTCCCCCTTGTCCTGTCCCTACTAGATGATGTAAAAAGTTGTGCAACAGGGCAGCGCTTTCAGGAGAGAGACAGTTCATGGTTACAAGGTTTCTTTAGATCGGCTTGCAGTACCACAAACCACTTTTGCAGGTTACCTAGCTCCATTCAGCAGCCTTTGCTGACACATAAAATAAAGAGGATTTGTTACATCAGCCTAAGTCTGGCCCTGGAGTACCTTTACCTTGGGTTTCCTTTTTGTTCTGCTCAATCAAGGCTTTACCCAATTCTAGAAAAACCTGTTTTCTTTTGCCCCGTAAGAGTGATAGTTGCAGCATCTCATCTGCAAGGGCAGTGAGCCTCACTGCAGTCCAGCAGCCGTGCCTGCATCTCATCTGCACTGAGACTAACGTGAGGTCTTCTTTCTTTCCCTCCAGATTTAACATCACAGCATAAGTAAGCTGGCTCTCGGAGCACAGAAGCAGTGTTGAGGAGATATGGCATGTCCAACAGTATGACTAGATAGGCGCCTTCTGCAAAATCCTGCTTTCAAGTAACCAAGATATTTAATAGCTTTAAAAACATGACTGTTGGCAAAGTCTCCTTGTGCTCGGGTGAAGGTATCTACGTAGCTAGCAAAGTTCTAGTTGCTTCATGTATCCTGAGATAATTCGAAGGATGTACAGTTTTAATGACTGTCAAGGAGACACCGTGCAGGACCGCCTCAGATTAAGCGGGTGCGGGTAGGCGGGTCGCTCGCATGCGCCGGAAGTCACAGCCGGAGGGCCGCGCCGTTTTCTGAGCGCAGCCGCAGCTTCGGCGCCGAACACGTCGGCTTCCGCGCTGCCCGCGGGCACGCGCTGCGAGACGGCGGCCGCCTCGGGAGGGCGCGCGCGCCCCCTGCCGCCCGGCGCGGCTCCGCGCGCCCCTCAGCCGGAAGGCGCTCTCCGGCCGGGGCGCGTGTCCGCCGGCGGCCGCCGTAGGGCGTGGAGCGGCGCTGCCATGGCGGCGGCTGGGCCGCCGGTGCTGCTGGGACTCCGCGACGCCGCCATGGCGGAGCCGTGCCGGGACGGCGGGGAGCCCCCGGGTTGGGCCACCAACAAGCTGGGCGGCCGCGCGGTACGGGGCGGGGGGCGCTGGCCCCGACGGGGTTCCGCGGCCCGGACCTCCCGCGGCGCTGAGCGCTGTGTGTGTTTCAGGACGCGCTGCCCTCCGTGCGCCCGGGCTGCCCCCGCTGCGGGGCGTGCGGCGCGGCGCTGGCGCACCTGGTGCAGGTGTACTGCCCGCTGGGCGAATCTCCCTTCCACCGCCTCGCCAACGTCTTCGCCTGCACCGGCAGCGGCTGCCGAGGGCGGCCCCAGAGGTGAGGGTGCGGGGCCGAGCGCGCGGGGCGGCAGGGAAGCGCCGTAACCCAGCGCGTTTTCTGTGTCCTCTCTCACATGTCGGCCCGAAGCTGGAAGGTGCTGCGCTCCCAGAGCTTGGAGGCACGAGAACGGGAGGCGCGGGGCTGCAGCTCGAAGCCGGCTGGTCAGGTACGGCCGGCGCTGCCCTGTGGCCTGGCTGACGGTGAGCGGCGTTAGGCGCGGGGCTCAGGGGCTCCGAACGCGCCGCGTGCCTGGCGCTGCCCGTACCTGCGCGAGCGGCACGGCCGCACCCGCCCGCAGCCTCACATCCGTGTGCGGGGGTCGGGGCTCTGTGGTCAGGGCGGTGGTCGCGGTTACAGCGGGTACGCGTAGGGCAATTGCAGGAGAAGCGTTGCTTCCACGCGAATGCTGCCAGGCAGGCAGAGTGCTGATTTAGCCGGGATATTTACACTGCGGTAGTTTGGTCCGTGGCAATGGCTTTATATTCCAGTTAAAATGGGGGAAATTTGTGTGATATCTCCGTATTCCACTCTTTGAGCTTAGCGCGGCGCAGTAACTGGTTCAGAGAAATACCTCCAAGCTGCGCCCTGCAGTCATGCCTGCAACAGGGGAATGGCGATGCCACGCATCAAGCAAACAGCCATTGCATTATTGCACCGTTTCTCGTCTGTTGTGGTTTTTTGCCATAAGTGTGCTGCTGTAAGAAGCAAACGTGGATATTCTGGTACCTGGTGTTGAGAGGGGATGGGCAACATAACACTAAGCACGAGATTAAGGTTTTCTTTCTCTTACTCTTTATAGCAGTGATACCACATCACTGTGGTCAGTTTGAAAATGTTTCTCTTCTCCCTCCCTTGCAGAAAGAAGAATGTAACTTTTCTGCAAAGGACTGGTGTGCTGAAGCAGACGACTGGGGAGGCTGCGACGGAGCAGAGTCTTCCACGTGTGCCCTTCAGATGTTGGGCCTCAACGCAGGGATGAGCAGCTCTGCATCTGGAGAAGCACAGTGTGTGTCACAGCTCCAAGAGCTTTGCTTGTCTGAAGCTGCAGATATGTCAGGTTCCCTAAATACAGACCTCCAATCGAGGGAGGAGATGGGGACGGCCACTTCGGCTCCCGTGTTCCACTCCTATTACATTAGTGTTGTGGATGAGGCAGACTATGCTGGTTTCCTTGATACAGATCATGCAAATAAATTATTGAAAGAGTATCAGCAGAGAGAGGGTGTTGATCTGGAACATTTGGTGTCAGAAAGGTAAGAACCCATTTTGAACCTCATGCTGAAGCTGAAGGGATTGCGTAGTTCAGTTTGTACTGAGTGTTGAACTAAGTGTAGCTCTCACTAGATCTGAATATGTTCATAACTGACTCCTTCAGGTAGCAATTGTAGGACATTGCAGGAAATGCATTGCACCTGTTTTCTCCAGTTTGGAAATTTTGCGTTATACAGTGCTGCATTTATTTCTGAGTGACTGAGCAGCTGGAATCCCCTTGGGATCCAGACAGAGCAGTGTACCTTCAGTCTATGAAACCAAACCAGTGTGGTTTGAACAAAATCTTATGCTGTGTTTTATGAGTTCATATTGTGACATTTGGACATTTGTATTTTTTTTCCTTTATTCTGCTACAGATTTTGTTATTCTGGTTGCATTTTTAAGAGCTGAGGAGCTCAGGGATTTCAACTGGAGACTGGGATGAGGACTCCAGTTAGACTCAGGGTTTTTGATAAAAGAAGGGTCAAGGAAATAATTTCTGGGTGTAGGTACTGAAAGTATTTCTGATTTTGACATAGGTGACCACACCAAGCCTTAGGCATAAGCAGGTATCTGATGGACGTGAATATCTTATCATAGTTTGAAACACTGTTGGCAACAGATAGTGAACCTAGAGGCAGAATGTTCAGCTGCAAGCTGGAACAGTGACTACATCTTAATTTAATGTTTGGCATTTTTGTGTGTGTGTGTGTGTACATACTATAACATGAGTATCTATTAATTGGAATTATGATTGCTTAAAGCATGCCTATTGTACTGAATTTGAACTTCTGGTTTGTTCCTTTTTCCTCTCATAGTTTTGCTGGTGAAGGTAATAATGAGAAGTATGAGAAGAGTGAAGTTAGAAGTGGGGACCACACATTCCATAAATTTATGAAAAGAATATCTGTCTGTCCAGAGCAGATTTTAAGGTATGTTGATCAGCTGGTAGTAACAGGCAGAGACAGCATATAGATGGAGGCTGTCAGTAAATAGAAATAAACAATTTAATTGAATATATTTACTTATTTTTCTTAATTGAAAAATTTGCTAAGTTTTGATGACACACTTCCAACGCTATCTCCTTCTCTGAAGTCTTGTAATCTTATTGTTACTGCTTATGGCTCGGTCTTTGGGATGTTAGTGAAGTAAGAAATTACTCTTTTTAAAGTCTGAGGTCCTTTGCAGCTTGTGACTGCATCCAGTGGCCATGCAGAATGGCTTGCTGTATAATCAAAGAATATTAGGATGTTATAATCACAAAATAAAAAAGAGAGTTAGGCAAAGTAGACTATAATAACAGAAGAGAATAAATAGAAGGCTGACCCTTATTGTGGGCTCACCCCCAAAACACCAGCAGAGTGGATCTCCAGAAGAGATCCTTCCCCACTGCTAGCCAGCTCTTAAATAGGTCTAGGAGGGGTGCAGCCAGGCTCCCCCCCTTCCAGCAGCACAATGAATTGCCTTCACCTGTGCTCCTGTGGCTGACTCATGGCTCGCCTCAGGCGATCAATCAGAGGTTCAGGCCGTGACTCAGCAGTTCCCATACACTTGC